GCGAACAGTTGTTCCGGGTTTTCGCCTTTCCCAGTACCACCAAGCTCTTTCGGAGCGGCGAGGTCGAGCTCAAGGCCGTTAGATTTTACTTCTCCGTTACGCCCTTGTCCTTTGGCTGTTGCATGCGCAGTGTACTGTGGTTCGGAAGGTGTTAAATGTCTGTCGCGTTATCGGCTTCGTCCACACCAAGGATGTACCTTGTGGTCCTTGAGAGTAATAAGAGACCTTGAAAAGGTTTTGTTTGGGAGAGAGGTAACATGAGAGCGTGATATTCTGAGCATGGTTCTTGCTGTAATGTTCAACATGATGTGATGAGTGGAAGTGTGAAGATCACAAGTCCGAGGGACATTTATATTGTGATGGCGTGGGGACATCCAATACAAACATCCACCGCTTGTTCCGCGACAGAGGCCTCGCCCGTACCCGTATAATATACATCCCTCACCACCACCACACCCACACGATGAAACAAGTCGCTATAACGCGGAAATCGAAATACAATTGAAAATTACATGAGCTTTTAGAAACCACTACTCGTCACCCTCAGCTGCTCAAGCTTCTTCAACACTTCACCAACTGTCCGATCCAGCTCACCCGCGATAGAGCTTTGTTTTGTGGCAGGTAGTCTTGCAAACGTCTCACACAGATCACCGTCTACGGTGGCCTTGACTGGGACATAGTAGCCCCGGAAGCTCAACTGATCTCTACCAACCAGGCTGCTCTGCTCTGTTCGCATGTGCTGCTCAAGCGTTGAGATAAAGTCGACGTCTTCTTTGGAAAGGAAAGGAACCAATATGCCAATCGTCCCGTGGAGACCGGTGTAGAGAAGGACCTCGCGACCACCAGCGACCAGTGAAACCTTGTGGATTGAGGTGACAATGTCTCCGATGTGGAAGTGCGTTAGGAGCTTAGTCTTGTGGGGCGCGCCCATGAGTATGCCTTTCTCGTGAAGGATTCCAGCGCCAGTGGGATCGTCGTCCACTTGTTCGGACACCTTTGCGTCTAATCGGTTCACGAAAATGTTACCGAAACGGTCACCAGCTGCAACGGTGTTGTAGTCCACCATTGTCATGGCAGTTACCCATCGCGACTGGCTGTCGTCAGCGAAGACAAGAAGACGGTTTTCTGGTGGTTTATAGACTGCGAAGGCAAGGGACTCTTGCATGTCGCCAACGATGATGCGCGAGCCTTGCGTAGCTAACGTGACGATCGCAGAAGAAAAGGTCTAAAGGAATTGTAAAACTGATCAGTCAATCTACACTTCGGATGAATCAAAGGGCATACTTTGTTCTCAACCTTGCGTAGAAGTTTCTTCTTTCCGATGTCATAAATCCTTAAAGCTTTACCAACACCAGCAACAAGTCGTCCTTGGAAGCCCAGAAGCGCCAAAGGTACATCATCAGTCTCCGTCTGATGAGGATGTAAATAAACAGACACGAAAGAATGAGACAAATGAGTGAACCTTGTGGAGAAGCTCGAGCCCCGCGCCATCATCAGTGAATTTGTAAGTCCGGAGGAAGCCGCTGGAACATGAGCGGGGCGAGATAAGGGTATCAGCCGCAGTGCCCACAACAAGGTGCAGCTCGCCGCCTTTCGCAGAGAATGGCAATACTGCTAGTGAGAATGCTGCTTCATTGCCTTCAAGCGGGATTAGGGCAACAGTTTTGGCCTGTCAAACAGAAACATAATGAGCACCGTGAGCAGTGACAGAGCCGAAAGCTTACCTCTATAGGGTCGATTATCCGAATGCACGATGCCCAAGTTCCCGCAGGCGCCTTTGGCCGACCAAAGTCTTCTGGGGGCAAATTCACAACCTCATCGTCGATCGTCTTCCCTTGTCGTCGCTGTTCAAATCTTAGTTAACATATAAGCAGCGCAGAATTCAAAGGAGGCTCACCAGGTTAGCGAGGTGTTTGCTCGCCGCATCCTCTCCCATCACCCGATGATCACCTTCAATCATATAGAAATAGTGATTTGAGGGGTGCGTAATGAATTTGCGAGGGGTGTACAACAAAGGAATAGAATCCTGCTTCAGCTTCGTCCCGAGTTTTGGTATTTGGAAGATCCTGTATCAGCCGTCCAATCAGAAAAAAAAATCAACGGTAGGTATGTCTGTCCCTTACCGTAAAGTGCTTCCAGCAATACCAATAAGGCCTTCAGGGCTAAGTTCGGCCGAGAAACTCCACGCGTAGTCGAAGTTCTCGAAAATAAGTGGTGTAAAGTGCATGAGATTTTGATGAGTGTAGTTGAGCCATGAGCGAGACGAAAGAGCCAGAATAGCAGGATTGCGTTGGATTTGAACACGAATAAGGCGTATTGGGCGAGTTCCGAGGAAACTATAGAACAGTAGGTTCGTCAGAAGGGTTCTTGGATGACAAGAATCCACGTACCGAGTCCGTGTGTCTGTGAGCTGGCCGTTGATAGGGTCCAGCACAGTTCGCAGCAATACACCATTCTGAAGGCCAATGTTGACGAACATGGTTGGCTGGGACTTATTGATACTTGCGTCAAGCATGTCGGCGATGCAAATCGAGGAAGGCGGCGCTGTCAGTGCCTGCAAACTAATCGTCTCGAGCGTGCTTTCCGGGTCCAGTGAGATGATCCGGACAGTCTGGTCCTCACAACCAACGGCCTGCATGATGTCAGCAAGCGCAGAAGATGAAGTCACAACCAAGCGCGTACCAGGTATGGCGTTCTTTGCCTACCCTCCGGAACCTCGCCGATGCTCAACGCCAGAACCGTGCTTCCCATCGCCTTGCGATCCTGGTACTCGTTGAGCTGACCATCCAAATCCAACTCGAAGTAGACCAACTCGGCGGAACTCAATGCCACGACGACCTGCCTCTTGTTAGTCGTCGCACTGACGATTGTCTTCCCATCAGGTACTCTCCATTCGTTCACTCGTCGGTCTGCGAGGACGTGACGAATACCCTGGGGATGCACCTGTAATAGGGCGTCAGCACCAATTTGCTGCACAGCAAGTGTGGGCGCTGAAGATAAGAAGCCGGTATCCTGGACTTCTTCTATCGTTTCGCCGATCGATAGGACAAGAGTTCCGTTCACGAAGGATAAGATAATGTAGGAGTCATATGGGTCTGCGAGCGAAGTTAGTCAACTTCATATCTTTAATTTCAAATTTCTTACCATCTTCTCTACGTTTCGTGGTCCAAACAGCATTAGGGATACCCGGAAGATCTGAGCTGACGGATTCCTCTACCTCAAGACCATGTCGCAATGTCCTAAAGGTACTGCGTGCACCACGCCCGCAAGCCGCAAATATTTGGGGGGCATCGGAATTTGGTAACACATTGAGGACTTTTGAGTCAATTATGGGATCGAGAGACTCCATCTCATCAGCAACCACCAAATTCTCCAGTGGTCGGGGACGGAAGAAGGCATGAGGTAGCGGCATAGAAGGGTCATCCATGCCGAAATCCCGATAGTCCGTAGAGCTGAACTCGGGCTCGTCGTCATCGTCGCCCAATTTTTGAAACTGGTAAAGGAAACTAGGGGAAGGTTGTCATCATCAGACAAAGCGGAAGCACGGGGATCGACGTACTGGTTGCCAAACTCAGCTGCGACGAAAAGGAAACCAGATTTAAGAATGCAAAGGCTCGCAGCGACAGGCACCGTGTCAAAATACTTGATTTTCAAAGACTTCACTTCCTCTTCTTCGTGTTCGATCGTGACTTTGTATAGATCACCATCTTCGCTTTGCAGCAAGAAGAAGAAGGCGCCCTGGGTGTGACAAAATTAGAGGAGAACAAATGAATCCGGTTGAGTTACGTACCTTCATTTTGTGCATGACCGCGGCAACGATGATTAAGCCTCGTTTAGGATCCTCGAGAGGATTTTTACGCCGGGGTATTGGGACACGATGTTGAGGTACATCCATGTGTCGGTAAATTATATGATCCTCACAGCACACGAGGACACCAGACGGTCCATCGAATCGGTCGGAGGATGCTAACTGCCCCCCAGGTACCTGAACGAGGAGATTTGCGCGGGCATCGGTCGGTTCACTCCATTTGCGAACGACGTGGTTTAGTCCGAGATCCAGCTCGTAATAGGTAAGCATCTGGGTGATTTATGAGCTTGCGAAGGAAAATGAAGCATCTTGTCGCGCACCTTCTCGGCAATATTAAATGCCTCACCAGTTGGGTCTTGGTCTGATTCAGTATAGTCCACTTCAAGCGCAGCAAACATGGGGTTTTCGAAACCAACATCCAATCCAATAATATGGTGAATGATAGCAGCATTCTTGTGAGCCTCCAGTGGCGAAGAAATTGTCAAGTTAGCTGCGGCGTCTCGATTGAGGATATACACGAGCTTCGCTTTCTCCATGGCCGAGATCATGACACTTCGACCTTTGGGGTCGGTCGCGAGATACTGTCCGGGAACGATACGCCGAGCTCCAGACTTTCCATATGTCTCTTGGTGGAGTTTCACGAAAGTGCTGGTTTTCGGGTCATAGTCGAGGATAACGATGCGTCCAGAGTCAGAGCCTACGATGGCGTAGTCTGAGAAAAAGTTGTGTGAACAATAAAAGACAAGCTAGATACGCACGACAGCTCACCCTTGGTTCCTCCAGTCAAGCGAAACGCGGCAAGAGAACGTATGGATCCAAAGACGTCTGTCGCGATGATAGTCGATATTTTTCCCGTCTGCACATCTGGTCGTAACAGTTCCAGCCGCGTTCCATGAGAAATAATGATTTCTTGCTGCCTGGCCCCGGAAAAGTTGCCCACAATCGCTTGCGTAACCGCTGTAGGCGGCTGCAGCGTTAGATTGTACAAGTGCATCGGTAGCCTTCACACAGAGAGCGATGAGGTCAGGCTTTGCGCCTTGTTGGTGAACGCGACGGTGATGGACGGATGGGAACGTGGTCGACGCCTGAGAAGAGGTGCAGACGCGAAGCTTCAATGATGTTGAAGAATTTGTCAACCGACCAAGTTTATTTGTGGCCATTGACCTCGTTATTCTTTGGCTCTGCAAACGTCGTCCTTGTCGATTAGTGGTTAAATCATCTCGTTGTGGTTTAATTTGCTCCGAGAAGCCGGAAGTTCGAATCCTCCCTGGGACAATCTTTTTGTCAATCTTTTTGTCAAGTTCCAACTCACATCACATCACTCAAATGTCAAATGCCGCGCGCATCAAATGTCGACTTGTCACTTTGTCCAACTTGAGACCGTGATGGCAATTGGCAACCATGGCACTTTTCCCCCATTTGCGCTTCGTTCAGTTCAATGGACATTCACCGCAGAAACAGTGGGATGCTCCCCTTGCGGAGGGGTAGCGCGATGATTCCTGGGGTTCGTCATTACTTGGGACAATTTCTGGCCACCATTGTAACCTATTTGTATCTAGGCTGGACCCACGAGACGACCAACACTACCACCCAAAAACTCAAGTCATGACCGAGCGATGTCTGTCTTGAACAATGCAATACAAACAGTCGACCTCGTAAACAACCTAGTGCCACTAGAGATAGCCAAGGGTGTACTGGCGTCCATTTCAGGAATTCTTGGAATTGTCAAGGTATCGTTCAGTATAATCGTTCTTTGATTGACTCTTTGATTGACTGGACGCTCACGCACTTCTACACAGAATACCTTTGCAAATCAGGATGATTTCGAGTCACTAGCAGAACAATGCCAGATGATTGGCCTCGTCATTTGGCGCGCAACATCTGGACCCACAGAACGCGAGATCAGCAGTACTACCCTCCGTGCTCTGGCTGAACTCAAGAGGTGCGAGTTCTGTTGTGATTTCATGCACGACATATAAACTAAGTAAATCGCTAGCTCCGTTGATGGCATTAGAAACGCAGTGGAAGAGAAGATCAAGAAGAATGTTGGGTCAAAGGTCTTCAACGTAACCATCAACCAGGAGACTATCTTACAGTGGAAGAACGAGCTAGACGGGTTCCTGACACTTTTCAATGTGAGTCTGTCACAATATCTTATCAAGCACTTAACCAATATCTTTATACGTAGACAGAACTCAATATCTCGGCGAATTTGAAACTCGACGAGCTGTTGGCGTCATTCCAAGAATTTCGCGCCGGTGTGACTTCAAACCTTCAACCGTACGACGTCGATCATGCCTATCAATGACTATAATCAACTCTTTGTTTCCTGCAGGACTGTGCAAGTGCCCGATGAATTGCCCGTTAGGCCCAAAATATTTGTTGGACGGGACGATCTCGTTAAAAACACCGTGCTATCGCTTGTTGGTTGTCAACATGTCGCCCTTATCGGACCGGGTGGTATGGGGAAGAGTAGCATTGCTCGCGCCGTCCTAAACGACGAAGCTCTCAGTGTCAAGTTTCAAGAACGAAGATTTTTTGTCCGTTTCGATGACCTGGACCCTGCCCAAATCACATTCGGAACATTTCTTGACCGCGTTGGAAGAGCGATGGCAATTAGTACGCTGGCCAACATCCACAGCCTAATCACAAAAGCCCTTTCGACTTCGGAGACTCTGCTTGTCCTTGACAATGCAGAGACGTTCCTGGATGCTGCTGTGGATGCCGGCCGAATTGCGGATGCCATTGATGGTTTCGGTGCGAGGAGTAATGTAGCCATCCTTCTGACGACAAGGACGAGTGTACTTCCCCCAAACCTGCAATGGGTCAGATTACGCGTTCCGGCGCTCGAGGAGAACCCCGCCTGCGAGGCTTTCAAACTGCTTTACACCCCTTCCATTGAGTCTTCGACCCTTATCAAACTGCTCGCCGCTGTCGATTTTCACCCCCTATCGATCAATCTCCTTGCACAAGCAGCGGTGCAGAACGAATGGTCTCCTGAACATCTCGTCGATGCGTGGGATCGCCAACGCTCAGTACTACTTGAAGTTGGAGATGGCAAGATACAAAGCATTGCGGTAACCATTGAGACGTCTCTCAATTCTCCCTCCGTCCTCAAACTTGGCGACACTATCCGTCAGCTCTTGCAGATCATTGCTTTCCTTCCTCAAGGCGTCGACAAGCGGAGGCTTACTGATATGTTCCCTGGGATCTCGGACATAGAGTCCTGTGCAGAAGCTTTGTGCAAGCAATCACTGGCGTACCTGAATGGCGAATTCATCACACTATTAGCTCCAATACGACTCTACATGGCGAAACGCTACAACACAAATATTGTCAACAATCCACTCCTTGAGAAAGTACAGTCATACTACAAGGCTCATGTCATTGACGAGGAGATAGTTGCCCAGGACGATGTAAACATCGAACACGTCTTTACTCGCTGGGTCGGTGATCCTGCAGCCATGAAGGAGGTGTTCAGGCTCATCGCACGCTTCCTATTTACCCTTTTCGATTGCCGGCCTCGCCCAGTTGCTCTGTTCCCGGTAATCAGGGCACTAAACCCCGAAAAGTCCACAAGCTCAGTGTCCTGCATGGAATCCCTCATGTTATTCCCAAAATCCAAAAGCGTCGCCGTTTCGGTCGAAAAGGGTTATTGTCTGTTCGCCATTTCGACCCTTATGCGTTGGATTGGGCAAATATTAGAGGCGGAAGCGGTACTTGCGGAGGCAAGGACGTTGTTACTCGAGGCTGGAAGAGTTGGTCGATCTCAACTCCTTTTCATCGATTGGGTTGTCGCCTCCGTTTACTCCGGGCAGGGCCATTATAAAGCTGCAGAAGAACTGTCACATTCGGCTTTAAAACGTTCCTCTACCATGTTTAGGCCAGACCCGGCGGTGGTGACCTACCTCCGCTTAGAGCTAACTAGAGCCCGAATGTTGAGAGGGACACCCGGCACATCGAAAGATATCCTCAAAGCCGCACGCAGTCGTAGCATCGAAAAAAATCCAGCAATAAAGTCCTTTGCCTGGTTCATTGCTGGCTTTGCTGAAATCAACGACGGCCACCTGGATCTGGCAAAACAATATTTCCAGGAGGCACAAACACAAGCAGCAGCTGACAAGGAACTGGGTCAACCCTTCGCGATGGCCCTCGGTGGCCTGGTCGATGTCGCTGTTCGACAGGGCAACCAAGTGGAGTCAAAAGCATTACGTACACAGGCGCTCGGATTGATCCACCAGATGCCGGACGAGACCATACCCTTTGTATCAGAGGCCATAGCACTCGTTGCCGGCTATCTCTCAATGGAGGGCGACGTCGAACAAGCTCGAAAGCTAGTTGGACCTGCCGTCGTGAACGCTCTCAAGCATATGTCCGGACCCGCCGTGGTATCTACATACCTAGCAGGGTGCGTCGAGTTGATTGGAGGAGACTTAGCCAAGGCAGGAGATTACTTCCGACAAACCGTCGAAAACTGCATATTAGTAGCCGAGGTCATCTTCCGCGCCCGATCGGAGAGGGCTCTTGGCGAGATTGCGGTCGTGAAAAAGGACTTCAAAGCTGCGAGGACGCATTTTGAAGCCACGACGGAGTTATGCGTGACTATAGGCATCCCAGCGGACTGCTTGTATCGCGAATTTACGTGCTACATGCTCAGCGAAACCTTCGACGGTTGGAAACTATATCAAGAAGGACATCCTATGTTTCGGACTTGAGGCCTAGATTGGTGGTTGTCTCTGCAACCTATTGTTATGGATTTATGTGGATATTTATTGGATGGCTGTTCGCGATAATTAATCCGAATCGGCTTTGTCTGCAATGTCCTGTATTTTGAAGGCAGGACGATGAGCCGCCCCTGGCCATTGCGCATGTCTGGCCGCTGCACCCGAGAGGGCCGAGAGTTTGCTTCTCCGAGTTCGAATTTACGCCGCATGCTTGGTCTTCCTTCCGCGTGCAAGACCCGTCTATAGAAGCCATCTCATGCCCCACTTAAAAAGCAAGTCAGAACGGGGGCGTTTCAGCCCTGCGGACTTGATCAATCACTGAACGTTGAACGTTGAACCCTCGTTCTCGGAGCAAAACTCCACCCAAGTTCAGTTGTAATTATGGATCTGTCGGTGCTCAACCCGGATGTCATCCTTCGTACGGTGTCCATGACTGATATACCGACGCTCCTCGCTACAAGCGAGGTAAGTATACATGCTTGAGGTTATGTGAATCTTCATCATTGACGCTTAAACAGACGTGCAGAGAGCTTTACTCTCTTTACTCTCTGATAATGTCTACCAGATCCCTCTGGGTAGCTCTGATTGCGGATGTACAGCGTCGCATCCCTCTGCATATATCAGATGTCGGGTCCCTTCAGTCTCTTTCTGTCAATGCACTCGTTAATATCCTTATACGAACTCTCCGTGGCCCAAAAACCTGGGCTGCTCCTCCACGTTCCCGCCATGGGCTCAAAACTTGGACGATGCCCGTAGTCAGCCGTCAACTTACCCTTCGCCCCAAGAAGCCCTTCAGTTCTCTTGGAGCTACGCTCCTCGGTGATGGGCAGCACCTCCTTATCAGAAAATCGGGGTCGAATCTGGAGTGCTGGAATATCGCGCAAAAGCGTCTTGTTTGGACATATAGTCCTCACGGTGTCAACGCGCAATGGGCCAACATTATCAACAACCTCGAATACGGGGAAGAGACCGTCAAGCCAGGCGAAATTGTCAACCTCATTATTTGCATGACTATCTTTGATGGACGGAGACAGTCAGTCATCGATTCTCTTCTTGCAACATGATATTTACTGCTCAGCGTAGATTGATCGAAATCGTGAAATTAAACTTGGCGACAGGACGTTCCGAACTCCTTCAATCCATGGAAGCTCCCTTGCACCTCTTCTACTGCTTCTACCGACCTATGATTTGTCATGACTGGGCATTGGTGTCTTTAAAGCTTGCCCATGCAATTTTTCTGCTCAATTGGAGGACCGGACGGCATGTCGAGATTTCTCCAAGCAATGTGCTAAGACCACCCATGAACGCGCTACCGCCTTTCATCATGGGAGCAGCAGATCATGAAAGCTTGTGGGATGCAACTTTGATCCCAGGGCATTTGATTACTTTGGCGACTGAGCACCACGACATATATCTCAGTATATGGGATGAGAACTCCTTCGACTGGCAGTCGGGGCCAGCTCTGTCCAGGCAAACTGATGCCCACCCTCTAATTCGAACCAAGATTGACCTCCCGGGGGAGCGAAAAGCTCGCCAACTTCGTATCCACGC